CTCCCATTCCATACTGCTTCCCTTCCCCCAGGGCAAGAGGGACCTTTCCCGTTGATCCCTCAAGCAACCTGGGCTACTGCACTGCTGCTCCCCATCTTTCTTCTGGTTCAGCTGTTCCAGGATTTTTCCTGGGGCAATATTTTCTGGGCTCTCAGAAGTTGATAGGGGAGGGTGAGAGTGACTACCTTTTTACTCTGCCATTTTGGCTCCCAGAAATTTGTTTCACTATGTATTCTGCTTCACCAGAAGCAGAAATCTCTTGCTTTATTCTAATTTTTAAGGAAGTATTTTCTTCAGTAAGTTTTTGAATTTCCTTTTCCATTTGGCAATTTTGCTTTTTAGGGCATTCTTCTCCTCATTGGGTTTTTAGACTTCTTTTGCCATTTGGGTTAGGCTATTTTTTATTTTTTTAAGGTGTTATTTTCTTCAGTATTCTTTTGGGTCTCCTTTAGCAAGTTGTTGATTTGTTTTTCATGATTTTCTTGCATCACTCTCATTTCTCTTCCCAGTTTTTCCTCTACTTCTCTTAATTGCTTCTCAAAATCCTTTTTGAGCTCTTCCATGGCCTGGGACCAATTCACATTTTTCTTGGAGGCTTTGGATGTAGGAGCTTTGACTTCATTGTCTTTTTCTGGTTGTATGTTTTGATCTTCTTTGTCACCAAAGTAAGATAATATAGTCTGACTCCTTTTGTGCTGCTTGCTCATGATCCCATCCAATTACTTGAGTTATAAACTCTTTGTTAAGGTAGGGGGTCTGTTTCCAGTGTGGAGAATGCACTTTCCCAAGCTTCAGGAGTTTTGTGCAGCTGTTTTCAGAGATACTTCTAGGGACCTGTAAATTTTCAGTTCTTTCAAGGTGCTATGATCAAGGACGAGGTGTTTACTCCTATCCTGGCCTGTGCTCTGCCCTATGAGTGACCACAAGCACTCTTTTCTGCCTTGGAACTGTGAGGAAGATTTCCTTTCCACAGCCACCACAAGCTCTACCACACCAGCACTCCTCCTCTCCCCAGGACTGCCACCTAGAACTGTGACCTAGATCCAAGCATGGGCAAAGCATGAGAATCCTGCACCAGCAGAGAGATACCTGCAATACCCCTCTGTTCAGCCATTCGATTCCCCCTCAGTCTGTGGGCCAGAAGCTCAGGAGGCAGCCACCACCCCGGGGCCAAGCTCAGGGAATGGGGCTGGGACCCTGCGCTTCTTTCTCACCGTAGAAACAGACTTTTCCCACTGACTTTCTAAGTTGTCTTTGGCATTCATGGGTTGAGAAGTCTGGAAACTGCCACAACTGCCCACGATTCAGTCCTCTGAGACCTGCTCCAGTTTCGCTGAGGCCTGCGCACCCATGCCCACCTGTGTTCCTCTCCCAGCCCAGTGCAATATGCCTTTCTGATCAACCATCCAGGTTGTCTTGGGCTGGAAATTTGTTTCACTATGTCTTTTTGTGTGTTCTGCTGCTTTAGAATTTGTTTAGAGCCATTTTTTATAGGTATTTGGAGGGATTTGGGGGAAAGCTCAAGTAAATCACTGATTTTACTCTGCCATCGTGGCTCCGCCCCCCTGCCTTTTTTTTTTTTACAGAACTGTTGCATCAAGAAAAAGATTGTGTTCTATTTTCTAAAATGAACATGAAGCACAACTTTCACAACCACATTGAAAGAAGGTACAAAGACTGACAGTGACATTGGGGTAAATGTAGATTTGTAAAAAGAAAAATACCTAATAATTCAGTGCCCTTTCTGATTCTTGGCAAACTTTGTTTTTACATAAAAGGTGGTCCAAACTTACAAAGAAAAAGTACAGATGTTTATAGTTCAGAAGATCTGCAATAGGGTCATAAAATGCTTGTGTCCCCAAGTTTAGGTACACTAATACCTGCAAAAATACAAAATAAAATTGCTAAATACAATCTGAAGATGTACAGTCCAGAGATCTAGTTTTCAGAACAGCATGAATTTAATCCAAGCTGAGTTTTTTGTGTGTAAGATTTTTTTTTAGCTATTCTATGCAAGACCCTTTTCCACATACAAAATAAAGCTGTTGTTGAATTAACATTACTCAAATCTACTGGATTGTTGCTTAAAATTGCAGCTCAGAAAAGTCTTTCCAGATAAAAATGGTGTGCCTGAGGAAAAACAGTTACTCAGTAGGGCAACCCTCTGCCTCACCCTCTGCTTGTAGATGTACTAATGTATAACCTGGATTTTTGGGAATAACCAGGGCCCTGGAGGCAGTGGGAAGGCCATGTTTGTCTGTGCAGAAGGCCAGAGCTCACTGGGCTTTCCTGTAAATTGCCCCAATGGTTGGAGTTGTGCATCTTGGCTGGCAAAGAGTGAATGCTCTCAGGCCCTATGGCAGGGTCCCTGCAATTGGCCAGAGCTGCAATTGCACTGTAACTATACTGAAATCTGTGGTCTTTATCTCCACTAAATAACATGGAACCAGTGTTGAAGTACATGTCTCCTTACCCAGCTACTGAGCTGGAGAAGGATTCTGAAAAGGCAGGCAACTGAGGTGGCCACCAGAATGAGATGAAGCCATGCTGTTGGTCTCCAAATACTGTATTTCTAAGTCTGCAATGAAGCTTCATCTTTCTCAGACTGGAAAGAGATCCACTTCCTAAACCATCATTTACATTAGAGAAAGAAGAGGAGGCAAAATTATCCTTGTTGTCTGAAGTTGGAACATAGGTATAGCCTGCTTGATAAATCATATTTATTTCCATTTTGGGTTCATCCTGGGTCTGATGTAGAGCATGGAGCTGCAACAGAGCAGTCTTCACTCCACCATGAGGGTCAGTCAATGAAGACCTAGATGTGAGCACATGCTGGTTTTCTGACTGATAATCCAGATCTTCTTCAGAAGGGAGGGGTAACTGGGATGGGGGGAGAATTTTGTGGGGGGGAGGCTAGCTTGGAGGCAGGATTCATGGGCACTCTTTTTCGGAGGTTAGCTCCAACATCCTCATCTCCATAGGATTGACAGGTTCATCTTGCCCTGCAAAAAGGAGGGCTGGGTTCCAGAGGCAGATGCATTCCTCCTCCTCCACTCCTACTGGGGTGTTGGTAGGATCTGTCTGTTTTTGACCAAATGCTACTTTGTTGTTGCCCTGACATTTGAGTTGTGTGGTTATTATTTTCTCTATAACTTCCAGTCTTAGAGAGTTGCCTATAGCATTGGAAACTTAATTAAACCAGATAAGATGTGACAAAAATAGGTCTTAAACCTAGATTTTCCTGCTTCCAGCTCCATATCCACTAAACTACACTGCTGCCTCGTTTTTTAATTAACATTTCGGGGAAATTCCATGATTGAACTATGACCATTGGAAAATGGACAATGTACCTAAGGGTTGAAGTAGGAAGGGAGTTTTCAAACCACTCAGACAAAGGTAGATATGGTATGTCAATGTATCACCAGAAGAGGAAAAGGAGGCATTGGCAGGAAGATGGGAGGTAGGGGCAGAGAAGGGGCAGGGCAGTTTTTCTGGGCACCAGTTCTGGCTGAAATGTTCCAGGTAACATCATAGTTCCTGGGGCAGTGGAGGAAGGAAAAGAGACATCCAACTTGGTGCCAGCTGTGGCTATGGTTTATAATATATAAGAGGAGTTGCCAAACTTTTTGCCCTCAGGACTCCTTTATATTATAAAGATTATTGAAGACTTCAATAAGTTTTTGTTTTTGTGGGTTATACCTAGCAATATTTAACATATTGGAAATGAAAATGTCTTAGCATTATTATGAAAACAGTTTTGACTTCAAAGCTCCTTGGAAAGGGTTTTGGGATGTGATTTTGAGCTCCCAGGGATGCAGGGAGGGAGTACAACTTATCCATACCTGATGGACAATCTCTTTATATCATTACCTCAAAATACTTCTCCAGAGGTCATTTGAAGACCTTAAGTTAGGAGAAGCCCATCAGCTCCAGAGGCAGCCTATTCTATTCTTGGATAGAATAAGTTTTTAACATTTCCTTACAATGAGCCAGAATCTGCCTCTGGAATGTCCACTCATTATTTCTAGTTCTTCCATCTGGGACCAAGAAAAACTACAAGTCTAATCTGTCTTCCACATGATAGCCCTTCCAAAACCTGAAGATACTTATTAGGTCCAACCCAATCCAACCCCAAATCTTTTGTTCTCCAGAGTAAATAACCTCAGGATCTTCAACTGATGATCATCTTATATCATGATCTTGAAGCCATTCGCCATCATGCCATCAACAGCTGACTTGAAAAACAAACAGGCAAGCCTTTGAAATCCAGTACTTGATCGCAAATGGCCATTGTTCTATGGCCCACTGCAAATCAGAATTCCACTACCTGGCAGACATATATACACTTGTCAGAATGACAAGAGTTGTAGATGAAAGAGTGAGGATAATATCACTTCATCATACAGGCACCATGTTTTTCTAAGAGCATATTATAATGACCAAGGATTTAGTCTGAGATATTTTTAGGATCTGTAAGAGACATGCTATCAGATCCCTAAATCTTGATATCAAGTAGAAGTTGAGAGAATGAACATGGGAGGACAAATAGAAGCTTGAAGAACCATCAAGGATCCAAAGAAATGTTCTCCAGGATGTTGTTCTGAATTAAGAGGTTCTGTCATTCAACTATGAGGATCTGACTTCAGGAGAATGTGCTATTACAAATAACCGAAGCTCTGATCCAAGGCAAGACCCAACCAATGTGACTAAAAATTAATAAATATCTTTTTTTTTAAAAAATCTACCTCCTGAAACTAGAGAGAAGAGCCCTTGGGAATGGGTGTGGTCAGCAGAGAATAGGTCCAAGAAAGGTCAATGGGCACTGACCATGAAGAACTGCAAAGCAAGGGTCATTACCATGGGGAATAAACCAACTCTTGCCCACAAGACAACCTGAAATTTTACCTGGAAGGGATCTTCCTACATTTGTCTAGATAATATGGCGATGTACTCTCCCCAAATTGTCCTCATGCCAACACCCCACAGAAATAACTCCTGGAAAATGACAAATATGAACTTTTATTATTTAAAGCATATAATCTAGTAGAATGAGAATAAATACATCGAAGTACAGTTTCCCATCTTCTGAGTCAATTTCTTTCTTTTACCTTCTCTGGTCATTACAATTTGGTCACTCCATTTATCCCATCATTATATACTGTATATACCAGGCAGATTAAATTCTGACACATTTAACCAACAGTAATTTAGCAGGAAGGGTGACATTATAATAGAAAAAGTGTTGGACATGGAGTGAGAAGAGATGCAGATTTGAATATTATTCTGTACATTTACTAAGTATATGACAATGAGTAACTTATTTAGTCTTTCTGAGTCTCAGTTTCCTCATCTGTAAAATGGAGATGATACGTGCCATAGTCTTACAAAGTTTCTGGAAGGAAAGACTTTGTAAATTCTAAAAAGCTCTATAAATTAGTTGTCATCATCATCATCTCCATTATTTTTAGTATCATTAACAACCAACGAGAGAATTTTATAAACTTCAGTAAAGGAATAATGAGATAGGTCATATGATTATAATATAGGAATTCTCTGGGCAACTCCAGCCTTATAGGCTGACTGAATATGAAGATAATTGAATATGATTTCATCTCCTCACCCTTGGAATATCACTTCATTAATATGAGATAAATGCCAAAAGTCAGTTAGATTAGCTAATATGAAATGTTTCTTGATGTCATTAGAAATGGAAACGTGCATGAGGTTCAGGATCTAGTTGGTACCTTGTTCTCTTTTATTAGAAAAAAATTTCCCTGAAATATTAATTAAAAAAAAGAGGCAGCAGTGTAGTTTGGAACCGAAAATTCCCAGGATCTTCTTTACTGCATCTTGTTCTTCCTTGGTGTAACAAGTGAGTGGCACCACCAGGATAATGGCATGAGGCCCAGGGGAGGACACAATGAGGCAGCGGCTGAGGATTAATAGAAGAAGCTAGAGCATAGAGTAAAAGATGGTTTTCTTTAAGCCTTAAATACGTTTTGAATGGTAGATTTCAACATATTTATTATTCTTTCAATGAATTTATTTTGGCTCACAACCTCATCTCTGGCAACTCTTTGCTTGTTTGTATAGAAATCTTCTTTTTCTGAAAGATCCCTGTACATTTTTTCTTTTCTTTCTTTTTGCTCCAATTTATTCTTTAAGTTTTTGATTTCTTCTTCATATTCCTGTCTTATTTCCTTTTTCAGTCTTTCCAGGTCTTGCATGTAGGATCTTTGCAATGCTTCAGTTTCTTTCTGAATCTTCTCCTCAGCTAGTTGATACATCTGGTTTGTGTAGCAAGAGCCTCCATTATTCTGTACTACTTCCTCAACCAAATGCAGAAGGTCTCTTAGCTGGGCCTCCTGCTCACTTCCAGTTGCTCGGTTGTTGAATGCACAGTATCTTCCATCAAACTGGCCTATCAGGACTTTCAAAGCTTCATTCTTAGTTTCACATAAATATTGATTCAAATCAGCACCTTCCAAATCATCCTTCCGGGTCAATAAAAGGATCATGTATTCCTTGGCTTTGGAACCGAAAATTCCCAGGATCTTCTTTACCGCATCTTGTTCTTCCTTGGTGTAACGAGTGAGTGGCACCACCAGGATAATGGCATGAGGCCCAGGGGAGGACACAATGAGACAGCGGCTGAGTTCCTCTGATGTGTCCACATCAGACACATGGGTGTCAAAAATCCCAGGAGTATCCACAACTACAATTTCTCTCTCATTCCACCATCTGCTTGTTTTCACACTGTTCTTGGTCACTGACTTTGCTGCTAGTCTTGCCTCAAATACTCTTTTACCAAGGATGCTGTTCCCTGTTGCACTTTTCCCAGCTCCTGTTTTACCCACCAGGACAAGTCTCAGTTGCTTCTTACTGAGGTCTTGGTTTCCATAACCTGAGATGTGGGTAATGAGAATGATAACGTTAAACTCTACCTTCAACTGCTATCCTTTCAGTCCTTCTTCCCACCCAGTGTAGCCATGTCTCTACTCTTAGCTTCAGCCTCAGAATCACATGCACTCTGGCATTAGGTCCTTCTCTAGCAAGAAGCATGCTAAAACTCTGGCTCAGAAATAGGTTCACCTTTTAGTTACCTGGTGGCACATAGTATTGAGGCTTTTGTTGATTTACCCTCACATGTTTCCATTTAATTAATTAACTCACAGAGTTACTATAAGGAATGAATGAGGTAATGTATATAAAGCTTGTCACTAGCCTTAAAGTAGTGTACAAATTTTAGGTAATATTCTTATTGTAGTGGTTATTATTCTCTCTAACCTCTCCCCCCAACTACCTTTGAAAGCATATAGAATTGTGTCTCTGGGAATATTAAGAAATAATCTTTTAACTATATTTATATCTGAAATCCTTGGTTTTACTTAAAACATTGGTCCAATCTGTTTCTTTCAATTTTTTTTTTTAAATTCTCAATTACATGTAAAACAATTTTAAACATTTTTTTAAATTTTGAGTTCCAAATTCTTTCCCTGCCTCCCTCCCATTTCCCCTCCTTGAGAAGGCAAGCAATTTTATGTAGATAATACATGTCCCACCATACAAAATTTCCCATATTAACACATTGTGAAAGAAGATACAGGTTAAAAAATGCAAGAAAAATAAAGTTTTAAAAGTATGATTCAATCTGTATTCAAACTCCCTCAGTTCTTTCTCTGAAGGTGGCTAGCATTTTTCATCATATGTTCTTCAGAATTGTCTTGGATCATTGTATTGCTGAGAACAACTAAATCATTCACTGTCGATCATCTTACAATAATGTTGTTATTGGGTACAGTGTTCTTATTCTGTTCACTTCATTTTGCATATTCATATGTATTCCCAGGTTTTTGGGAAAACATCCTGCTTGTCATTTCTTATAGTACAATAGTATTCCATCACAATTATGTATCATAACTTGTTTAGCCATTGCCCAACTGATTGGAATCTCCTTGATTTCTAATTCTTTGACACTACAAAAAGAGTTTCTATAAACATTTTTACATATGGTTTCTTTTTTTATATCTTTGGGATACTAGTAGTGGTATTATTGGGTGAAAGGGTGTACTCAGTTTTATAGCCTTTGGGGCGTGGTTACAAATTGCCCTACAGAATGGCTGGATCAGTTCACAACTCTACCAACAATGCATTAGTGGCCCAATTTTTCCACATTCTCTCCAATATTTGTCATATTAGGGCAGTTTTCTTTGGCAATTTTTTGAAATGTGATGTCTAGGTACTTTTTTTATCATGTTATTGCTCAGTCATTTTTCAGTCATGTCCAACTTTGTGACCCCATTTGAAGTTTTGTTGGCAGAAATGATACTAGAGTGGCTTTGCATTTCCTTCTCCAGCTCATTTTACAGATGAGGAAACTGAGCCAAACAGGATTAAGTGATTTGGCCAGGGTCACTCAGCTTGTAAGTGTCTGAGGCCAGATTTGAAGTTAGGAAGATGAGTCTTCCTGACTCCAGGCCTGATTCTCTATCTACTGTACCACTTAGCTGCCTTTTTTTTTTAAAATAATGAATTTGATAATGAGTACAATAATTCTTAAATTATCTCTCCTTGATCTGTTTTCCAGGTAAGTTGTTTTTCCAATGAGACATTTACATTTTCTTCTTTTTTTTTCATTCTTTTGACTTTGTTTTATTGCTTCCTAATGTCTCATGGAGTCATTATCTTCCACTTACACAATTCTCATTTTTAAGAAATTGCTCTTTTTCAGTGAGCTTTTGTATCTACTTTTCTATTTAGTCAATTTTGCTTATTAAGGAATTCTTTTCTTCAGTAAATTTTTGTACATCTTTTTCCAGTTGCCCAATTCTTCTTTTTAAGAATTTCTTCTCTTCATTGGATTTTTGTGCCTTTTTTAGACATTCAACCAATTCTGTTTTTAAGATGTTATTTTCTTCAGTATTTTTGTGCCTCTTTTAACAAACCATTGACTCTCTTTTCATAATTTTCTTGTGTCACTGCCATTTCTTTCCTTAATTTTTCCTCTACTTCTCTTATATCATTCTTAAAATCCTTTTTGAGCTCTTCCATGAATTATTTTTGGGTCTTTGAACAATTTATATGTTTCTTTAAAGCTTTGCATGTAGTAATTTTGGCTTTGTTGTCTTCTTCTGAGTCTGAATCTTGATTTTCCCTGTCACCATAGTAACTTTTCATGATCAGATCACTTTTTTAGCCTATTTCTTGACTTTTATCTTTAGGTTAACATTGGGTCCTGCTCTTAGGATGGAAGAGGTACTGTCCTTAGCTTCAAGCTCTTCTTATTGCTGTTTTCAGAGCTAGCTTTGGTGGGCGGGGGTCTGTTTGGTTTTTCCAAGATGATATGATCTAAGGAGTGGTGAGGTGACTGGTCTCCTGCTTTGTGTTCTAGTCTTTGAGCTACCACAAGCACTCTTCTACATCCTAGAACTGTAACCAGGGCTTTGTCATTCTTGGAGTTACAAGTGCTAATTAGCTAGTGCTCCTCTTAGCTCTGGAACTGCAACTGAGAACTGTATATGCACAATGCAAAAGAGTCCTGCGCCCAGTGCCAACAAAGGACCGCCTGTAATCTCCTGACTAGTTGTCCAAACCCCTTACTACCTGTGGGTTGAGAGCTCTTGAAGATGCTATTGTTGATGCTAATGAACTGCCTCCAAGGTCTGGTGCTAGCACTCTGACTCAGTCTATACTGCATGGTCTCTGTGCTTCAGGTCCAACTACCACCTTTCTGAGACAGAATTTTCCCACTAACCTTAGTTGTCCTGGGCTGTAAAATAATTTTGCCCCAACACTTTTTTGGTTCTGCCACTCCAGAATTCAATTGGAAGCATTATTTTAAAGTTATTTGGAGGGAAATTTGTGAGAGCTCAGAGGAGGGCCCGCCTTTACATTGCCATCTTGGCTCTGCCCCTTCTAATCTATTTCTTTTCAATAAAAATAAAAATAATAAAAAGTCCAATTCTGAAAGAGATCAGAGTTTTGTTTGTAGTGATAAAACTAAAGTTACTTTCATTCCATTAGGAGGAGAATCTGGAGTTTCTTTTTAACTAGAGGTTGGCAAACTAAGGCAAACTAAAGTCCATGATTTGTACTGGTATGGTCCACAAGCTCATAATGGGTTTAAAATTTTTAAATAATGTTTAATTAAAAGATAGTTGAATTGCTAATTAATTCATGAACTTATGAAATAGGGCAGGCACGCCTGGTTCTATGAGTACTTGCCAGGAAAGATCACAATGGCAGTGGGAAATTAAGCTACAATCACATTTTAATAAGGCACAAAAGGTAGGCACAAAAAGGCTCAGAAAGTACAAAGACAAGCAGAGATATAGGTATAGAAGCAGATGGCATGGAGACAGGGAAGAGGGTGGAGGAAGGTAAGTAGCACAGGGAAGAAGGAGAGGGGGAGAGGCAATCATTCATGTTACCATGGATTACAGTTGGGAGCATTCAGCAACATGGACCTGATGTAGATGAAAGAGTACTTTGGGAGCAGGAGTTTAAGGTCTCAGATATGTAGATAGATAGATAGATAGGTAGGTAGGTAGATAGGTAGATAGATAGTTATAGATGGATGTGTATATATATGCATATGTATACTTATATGTATATATATGTCTATATATATGTATGTGTGTGTGTGTGTGTGTATGTATGTATGTATGATCTGTACCACATTGGGGTTAGTTTATTAATGTATCCAGATCATCTCAAAGTTGTTGGTAAAACTTCAAAATTAATATGTCTACATCATCTCAACATCAAAATTTGGTGTTGTGATGCCCTTACTGCAGACATCTGGAGCTTCTTTGAGTTTTATATATAACAAGGCCATGAGGCCCTAACAACAAAGTTTAGGTGGTTTCTCTTGATTCAGTACTTATTACCAGAATGTGATATTTGTACTCAGTCTGATGCATTTTTCTAGATCTTCATGGAGGAATTGTGGGTGACAGAGAGTTTGACTATATTTTTTCCTACTACTCCACCATCTTTGTCCCACTTCTTAGTGAACTAATCAATCACAGAGCATAGGTGTAATCTTCAGGCAGTTAGCTATTTTAGATTTTTTTTTTTTTTGGTCCTCATTCAGTGCTCTGGTATGGCTTCTTTCCAACCAAAGACTTGATCACATAATGTGATCATGCATTCATGCATCCATCCATTCACTTACACATAGCGTGTCTTAGTTTGGATCTGTTCTGGAAGGTTGTAATCTAGAGAACCAAAAATTCAATGAAGAAAATAACTCTTTAAAAATAGAATTAGCCAAATAGAAAATGAGGTACAAAAGCTTACTGAAGAAAATCCTTAAAAATTAAAATTGTGGGAGGCAGAGCCACAATGGTGGAGTAAAAGCAAGGACTTGGCTGAGCTCTCCCTAAAATAGCTCTGAACATCTTTAGATAACACCTCAAATCAAATTCTGGAGTGACAGAACCCACAATAGGGGAAGGGGTAAAACAATTTTCCAGTCCAAGAAAACTTAGAAGATCAGCAGGAAAGGTCTGTTGCACCAGGGTGGGAGTGGAGCAGTCCATTGCAGGCTGTGTCAACATAGAACAGGCTCCAGCAAACCAGGAGCAGTTGTTGGGAGTGAATGAATCAGCAGAGCCAGTGACTGCTTTTGGAGCTCTCAACCCACAGATGCTAAGGGGGGTCAAATAATTGGTTAAAATGAGATTACAGGTGTCTCTTTGCTGGCACAGGGGGCAAGACTCTGTTACTTTGCCCATACTCAGATCCAAGTTGTAGTAGTCCCAGGGTGAGGAGGAACTCTAGCACATCAGAGATTGCTGCTACAAGGGAATGGGGACCTTAGTCACAATTCCAAAGCAGAAAAGAGTGCTTGTGATCACATATAGGCCAGGAGGAAAGCAAATAAGTCTCTCCTTAGATCAT